CTGAGCTTTTCCGTGTCCTGTCTAAAGCTGTGGAGGAGCTGGGTTTGGGGTGGTCTCCGCCGGAGGAGCCCACCCGCAGCCGCCTGGATGAGTGGTTCTTGCCATGGCGCAGTCAAGTCCCCCGACAACGAGCTTCACCATTCTTTCCGGAGGTCCACGACGAGATCACCAGGTCTTGGCGTGCCCCCTACTCGGCCTGCCTTCGTGCCTCATCTTCGTCCGCCCTCACATCAGTCGACGGCGCCGAAGAAAAAGGTTACGACAGACTGCCTCCCCTGGATGAGTCAGTGGCCGCGCATCTCTGCCCGCCCACGGCCATCGGCTGGAAGGCAAAGGCGGCCCACCCGTCCAAGCCGTGTAGGGCGACTTCAGCTCGCGCCGGACGAGCCTACTCGTCTGCTGGACAAGCGGCCTTGGCGCTTCATTCCATGGCGGTCTTACAAGTCTTCCAGGCCAAGCTCCTCCGTTGCATGGACGAGTCCGGCCCGGACCCCGCAGCTTTTAAGGAGCTGCGCAGCGCGACAGACCTGGCTCTACGCGCCACCAAGATGACAGCGCAGGCGATATGCAGATCCATGGCCAGCCTAGTAGTGCTGGAGCGCCATCTATGGCTAAACCTCACGGAGATCAAGGATGCGGATAAGGTCCCCTTCCTCGACTCCCCGGTTTCCCCTACTGGCCTGTATGGACCTGCAGTTGAGGGCATCGCTGAACGCTTTACCGCTGCACAGAAGTCGTCCAAGCAATGTGACACTTCCTGCCAAAGCGCTCCAGCTCAACGGCTGGTTCTAGTCGCCCCAAAAATGTGCCGACTCAGCATCCCGCGAAGCCCGCGCCACCAGTTGCTCCCACGGTTATCCTCTCGCAAGTATGCCCAGGGGACTGGTTCTTTTCGCTGGACCTGAAAGATGCTTACTTTCACATCCAGATAGCCCCCCGTCACAGACGATTCTTGAGATTCGTCTTCGAGGGAGTGGCTTATCAATACATGGTCCTTTTTTTACGCTGAGACAGACGGGAATCCGCATTCTGAATTACCTCGACGACTGGCTCATTCTGGCCCAGTCGGAGGATGAGCTACTATCTCACAGATCCCTCCTCCTCAGCCACTTAGAATGCCTGGGACTCAGGGTCAATTTTGCCAAGAGCACTCTGTCCCCCAGCCAACAGATATCGCTCCTGGGAACAGTTTTAGACTCAGCCCAAATGAGGGCGATAGCCGCGCC